TTTTAAAATATATATAGATATACATTTATTTATATATATATTTAATATATATTTTTTTAAAATATATTTTATTTTTGTTTTTTATTTTATTTTATATATATGTTTATATATAAATATATATAAATGTATTTATATAAATATATTTATATAAATATATTTATTTGCGTTATTTATATATATTAAACATATATATTTAAATAATAGATAATTAAAAAATGTATAAATATTATCAATCTAATTAATTAATTTCATATATATTATTATATATATGATTAATGAAAAAATATTAATAATATATTATTAAGAAACAAATATATTAATATTAAACTATATTAATATGTATACTAATTATTAGTTTAAAATTTTTTATTTAGGCTGATGAGTATGTTACCGAGTTCGAGGGTTCTGGACCCCGACACACATCCACTCGTAATGTGAATGCTTCTGCTCGGCGGGAGAGGGAACAAATGCGCCTTCATGCTCGCAGGGTACAGACTGCCCAAGCTGGTAGTTCGAGACATCATGTTGCTCCGATACAGAGTGGTCAGCAGTATGGCCCAGTCATGCCTCAGTCTGGCCCACTCATGCCTCAGTCTGGCCCATTCATGCCTGGCAGTTGGAGTGGTCAGCAGTCCTTGTCAGTGATGCCTAGCAGTTCTGGACGTCTCCCGACTATACGTATTTTTTGTCGGCGGGACTCCATTGAGTCGACAGTCAGGAGTCCGAGGGATGATGATGATGATGATTATGATGACGACGACGAGCAGGCCTATGATGATGACGAGCAGACATATGATGATGACGAGCAGGCCTATGATGATGACGACTTTGATGCAGCTGAGCAGCCACAGACCCATCCACAGGCACGTCCAGCTAAACGACTCGCCCGAGTTAATCCTCCACGACAGGCTGGGAGCCGTTATACGAGCGCTGCCTCATCCTCAGGTAAATGATTTACGTATTTACTGTTGTTTACCATTAGATATTATTTTATTTAATAATAGCGCATCATTGATACAATCAATCACAGTATTCCGTATATGTATTGATTGTTCTATTATAACACAGGGGCGAGTAGCAAACGCACTAAGTGTGACAACTGGCTTGTTAAAGCCCCAGTACCCGGTGGCCCCTTTGACGGGAGTGTTATCCCTAGTTTTCTAGGGCACGTAGCCTCCTGGATTTGGACTGAACATGTTAGAGGCACGTTGAAGTGCCAAAACAGGATGTCAGCGAACGGTGTTTTGAGGGAGTGGCTCGTACAGATGGCTGAGGCTCCGCGAGATCTGATCCGTCCGACCAGGCTGTCACATTTGGCGTCCAGCATGCATGACCACATCGACACTCCACTTATTTCAGCATTTGTGGAGCGCTGGCAGCCGGATACCAACTCGTTTCACCTGCCTTTTGGTGAAATGAGTATTATGCTGCACGACGTGAGGGCGATATTGGGGGTTCCTATCGTCGGTGCGGTAGTCACAGGGGACCCCGACACCTTGACACAACAAGCGCACTGCGTGGAGCTCCTGGGGGTGGACCAGGCAACGCTGATAGCGAAGTTTTGGGGTCACGGCTCGATGACGAATGAAGCCGTTTTTACTGCGTTGGAGAAGAATGGCGCAGGTCGGTCGGCTGAGCATGTGGCGATTGGCTGGCTGTTGATGCTGCTCGCTACCACCTTGTTTACAAACAAGAGTGGTAACAGGGTCAGTCCCAAAATCCTGCACGAGATGATGGAGGACCTGCAGAGTGTTGGGACTTACTCGTGGGGCTCGGCCGCACTGGCATACCTATTCAGACATTTAGGTATGGCCAGCAGGGGGGAGTCGGGGGGAGTGGCAGGCTGCTTGACTCTCATGCAGTTCTGGATATACGAGTACTTCCCCACCTTCCAACCCGACGGTTCGCGTATGGCCTCCGAGCCTGACAGCTTGGCCCGATCAGCCTTGTGGAGGACCCCCGTCCCAGATAACTCAGATAAGCGCCTCAAGCATTTCCGTAAGCAGCTTGACAGACTCATAGCCGCCGAAGTACGTTAAGTTATTTTATTACATTTACTTGAAAGTTATTTAGAATACTAGAATTGCTTGAATAAATGTTTTATGCAATTGTGAACAGGTAAACTGGCTGCCATACGGCCCCAACCCACATTTGCTGGAGCCTAGGACCCTTTATTGCGGATGCCTTAGGTACCGAGATATTGTGGAGCCGTACATGCCTATGCGTTTCTTACATCAGTTGGGCTACGTCTAGACGATCCCTCCACGCATGGATTGTCCGATTACTGTATTTCGTGGTTGGAATGCTAGGATGTACAGGGTTGAGCATGCAGCGGACGCTGCAGTAGATCACTGGAATCAGTTCCCGCTACTGCATTCTGTACGCTTGTCTGATTTTACTCCCACCACCGCAGATGATCTAGGGGCGGCCCATGAGGACTACCAGCGATAGTATGAGCGTTATTCTCATCCTAGACTCTTTCCCGACAGTCAGACGGACAATGAGGCTGTCCCTGCGCGCGCCAACATTGATTACGTAAGTCGTTTACTAAATTTTAGTTAGTATTCGTTCATTACAATTTTTTTTTTTTATATTTTAATTATGTGCATATATTTTCCTTGTGCTTTGTGTAGTGGGTCGGACGGTCCATGTCCCTTTCATTAGATATGCATCAAGAGATCGCGATACTTGCTCTTAATAGGGCGGCAATTTATGCAGAAAAATTGGCTCAGTTGAAGTTGGATTTCGACAGAGCGCGGTAGTGATGTAATAAATACTTTTTTTTTATATATATTTTGTTTTGGATGTTGTCATAAACCACCCGAATTTTTTTTTTTATTTGAAGTTAGTTAATTTCATTTTCATCTAAACAAAAAATTCTCCCATTATATCACGTGAAACGGTAGACACGGCGAGATATCACAACCTATCACTCGTAACGCATGAAAATAAAATTTAAAAAAAAAACCGCAGATATAAGTCGAATATAATAATATATCAAATTTCAGCTGCAGTACGAATATCATACCACAACTGGAACCTGCTCTGGTAGTGATACGGCCAATCTTCAACCGAAACATCTCGGTATTTCTCCCAAAAATATCACAAAGGCGGTAATGGAGAATCAGAACACAGATTGACACGAATGAAGTGCGCGTAGGAACTAAGATGACCTATGACGATCTCACAATCAGGTCGTGTAGCCGTGGATGGTGCGCGGATCGGGAATACCGTCATACTGGCTATGCCCATATTGTTATCGTTGGGACCATAGCTTAACAACACGACAACTGCATTAAATAGTGTAGCAATAGCAAAGAGGTTGCCCGTAGCATTCATCCAATGCTCCTCGCCACAAGGACCCCCGTCCCATCTTATACGATCGATTGCGACGTCGACCCCATCCCAATAAAATGGAGCGTACAAATGAATGTTGGCTGCAACCTCATTTGCAATATTTCTTCTTGCCACATCCCACTTCTGCTGATCCCTATAAATGTAACTCGCAACCACCCGAAATCCGCAGTTCCCGTCTGGCGTCACATCCAGATAACTCTGTACGTAGCTGTGAACTACGTAGGGAATCCTACCACGATGTCGGTACTGAAAAAAATCCGTCTCGAAAGTATCTGTAATATCAGAATAATTTCACGTCACAATTTAGGTAATTGAATTTACAAACATAATTAGTAATCGTTCAGATAAAAAAATAAAATTAAATTACCTGTCGAATCTTGAGACGATGAGCTTGTCGGGGCACACGAAGAAGTGCTTGTACGACCCACCGGACGACCTCTTTCCCTGTAGTCCCACATCGACTTAGCACACGAAGAGGTGCTCTTACGCCCCGGCCGACGACCTGTTTCTGTGTACCCCGATTGCGATGGAGCACACGAAGAAGTACTTTTACGCCCCGCCGTATGGCCTCTTTCAATATACTCCCATCTCGATAGATCGCGTTTTGTTGAATTTTTCTTCTTGGGCCGACCTTTCGGATTTTCCTTCACTGCAGGTTCTGTGTATCCCTGTTGATCAGGGTGAAGTTGAGAGTCGATGAGATGGTTCAGGTACCGTACAGTCGTAGGATCGGCCGCTTCAACCTCCTCTGCAAGCCTCCGAAAATAATCATGATCAGTCCATCCACTCGCCGATGCACTCTGCTGACCTGTCCGTACCGAAAATTTAAAGAATTATACAATATGCTCTATCAAAATTTCTATAAATGAAACAATACGTGGAGTTAAAAAATAATTTAAACAAAACTTAGGAGAAAAAAAAATGTTGAGCATGATGTTCTACAGATTTATTAATCTCGCAATTATACCTGGCTGCGTCACCTCTAGTGTGCTCCAGAAGATGTGGATGTCGTCGGTCGTAATAGTTCTACGTACAGTGTGTGTCTCCCTTAGCTCACAGGCACAAAGAAGTCCATGAGTGTATTTTAGTGCACAATCGCAGCACTCCGAAACATCTTTGCCGAAGTCTCGCATCTTCTGAAGCTCATCATTCAATATATCCATACAGTAATGCGAGACCCGCAGTGTCAACTGCTCAAAAGGGAATCCCCTGTAGCCCGTACTTATCCTAAGTCTCGAAGACTCCAGCGTCTCCCTGGTAATACATTACATAACATTCAACCCAATTAAAATTTATAATTAATGCATTAATAACACAGTCTTACTGTATAAATTAAAGAATATATCTGACTTTAGTCAGTTGAGAATCAATCTCCTTGTCAATCTTCTCCCAAACCGTGTCGATCGAACCGGTCGACGTGTTAAGCCACCGCTTCAACGTAGCGTGGGAACTCTCCACCCTACACGAGGTTGTGTTGCCAAAATGTAAGACAATGTCCATCCACACTTTGACAAACTTCTCCTTGTGCACTAACCATGTCTGATCCACATATTCCAGCACACGAGGAAACGCCGCGTATGTAACAGCCAAATCAGTTACGGCAGTTTTGTATTTGTCCCACGTGTTCGCCTCGACAACCTTCTTCCACTTGCCGTGCGTTTACTTCTGCGCGAAGATCTTATTTTTATTTGTGTTTGTCGACGTTAATCGATAGACCCTGTCTTCCACATCCTTGTTGATGTGCCACGTACAAAGTAAGTGGGGCGTCGTCGGAAAATTCCTCTGAATAGGAGTAATCAACCCCAACTCCCTGTCACTGACAATGACTATAGGATGTACATCAGGCCCTATCAGAAGTCTCAACCGCTGTAGGACCCAGTCATAGCTGTACTCGGTCTCGTCCTTGATAATTGCATAAACAATTAAGAAATTCTTGTTGCACGGCGTCATTCCAACCATCTCAACCAATGGCATGTGGTACCTGTGCAAATGAAAGCAGCAAGAAGAAAAAACATAGAATCAAAAAACTTACTCAAACATACTATTTTAAGATTCACATTATATTACTATTTATAACGTAATGTAACATACCTGTTGGTTTTGTACGTGGAATCTATACCGACATACCAGTAATATGTCCGGAATAGACTGGCTGCTCCTGGCCAACAACATCTCTACCCTCCAGACGGTCTTTTCGCAATTGACCTCTATAGTTATACACTTGTCGGCAAGTAGCATTGTCCACAGGGTTTTTCTCCTGAATTGCAGCCAAAATTACTTACGGTCTTGCCTGAGCATCAGTCATATCACGGACAATCTCTTTGGATGAATCGCTGAGTCGGCTCATCTGTCGATGACCCTCGGGATGCACAACCAAAGCATGATTATGAAATCCCTTCTCGTCTTCTAAAGGAAGCCAGATACTCCATTTTTTGGAATTTGCTTCGAATTTGACTTTAATCATAAAAGGGCAACCAGTAAATTTAGTCTTCGAACGTCTCAAAACAGCATTCACAAGATTTTCTAGTGTTCCTGCCTTGCCTCTGTAACGTTCCCCTCGATGACACCTCAAAGTCCGAACCATTCCATCTTTTTCGTGTCTCGAGATGACCAATTCGAAATTCCATATCATTGCAATGTCTTTTGCCCATTCAATAGCTTCCTCGTGACTATCAAATAGCTCATCTGTAGCAAAACAAGATCGGTAATCTTTGCCGTCTCCTCCAAAATCTTCGAGTAGCACCTGCAATATGTTACGATGTTAATAATTTTACAAAATAATGAATTATAACTTCTCTCAAAATAATAATAGTGATTTGTAATTTATTAAAAAAGACCAGAGAATTGAATAAAAGAAAAGCAATTTCTCTCTCTAAGAAGAAAAGCTCTCGACAAAAAGCCCCAAATTCACAGAAAACCTAATCTGCTAATTCGCGTGCCTTCTTCCAGCAGGGCCTTCGGGGCACCACGACAGCGGCATCCTCCGAGCCTTGCGGTCGAATCTCAGAGACGTCAGTAGTGGCGGTGGCCTATTCATCGGGTGAGATGGCGGGTTCTCCCCTTGGGTTTCGCCGTCTTGCAGGTTGCTAAGGTGGGTCGGGATCCCGCGATTCTTCTCGGAGTCTAGGGGGTGGTGAGCTGCCGGCGTGGCTGTGAGTGCATGCTGTGGCTCCTATTATCCACTCGGAGGTTAGCGGGGTGGTAGTCGAGGCTGAGATCGGGGCGGTTTCACTCTCCTCCCTTCTCCCGTTCTGCTCTGCTTTTGGGGCCTTCAGGTTGTGTTAGCGGAGTCGGCTCGGCTCGGGGTGGGACTTGTGTCTTGGACCTGGGTTGTCGGGTCTTGGGAGGTGGAGTATGTTGTGGATCTCTGGTTGCGGGTCTTAGGGTTGTCTACCCGGGCAAGGATTTGGGTTCTTTAGTCTCAGATTTGGCTAGGCGATTTATCTGCAGTTTCTGGATTTGTGGCTTGAACCGGGTCTTGTCCGTGTGGGTAGTCGGCCTTGGGTGTTGGTGTCGTTGGTGTTCGGTTTGGCTTCACTGTGCTGTGGGAAGGGCTTAGTGTTCGTTGTTTTGTATTCTTTTTGTAGTGTTTGTGTTGTGTTTAGTGTTGCTTTGTTGTTGTGTGGTGTAAGTGTTGTTTGTGTGCGTCAGTGTTTTTTTCTCCTCTTTAGGAGTGTGAATTCTCCCGGCGGGGAGTGTGTATTCCTCATTAGTGGGGTTTTAGTTTTTTGTGTGTTTTGTAGTGTTGTGATTTAGGCTACCTTTAGTGGTAGACCTCCCTCTTTCCGGTTAGTGAACCGGTTGTATTTTCGTGTTTATTTATAAAGTCTATCGTTTGAAAAAAAAAAAGATTTGTAATTTATTATATAATCAATTCTAACTTCTAACGTAATATCAATAAATTTTACGTTATAAGATAATACATTCATATATATTAATAATTTATACTAATATAGATTTTTCCTATTGTATAATTTTTATACTATTAATTTAATACTAAATACTAATATTATTTTTTTATAAATACTTTCTATTAGTATATACTAAAAAAATTAATATATTAGTATATAAAAAATTATTATTATATTAATATATAATTTTTAATATATATTATTATATATTAATATAACTTTTTTATATTAGAATTATGCCTCTAGCCATGATTTTCTTATATACTAATATAATTTTTAATATATATTATTATAAATTATATTAGTATATAAAAAAATTATATTAGTAATTACTATTATAATTTACAATAATTACACTAATTCCAATTATATATTAATTATAATTTTTTTCATTAACTAAAAAATATATATAATATTAATATAATTTTATTACTAATTATTTTAATTAATTTAATAA